TTATATATATTTACATATGTACATACCTTTATTTAGGCCTCTATAAATGCCCTTTGCCTCCTAGCTCTTTCCTCTGTTTCCTTTTACTTTCCTCTTGTCCCACTAGCATGTTCAGCCTTCATTTGGGTTTCACTAATTCCTCTGGGTTACGTTACCGTTGGTCATGCCCTACCAGGCCTCCTACATCCTCCTCACCACCGATTTGGATCACTTGTTGTTCTCTTGTCCCTGGGTTTGTTAACCACCACTTCCTTTCCCCCACCTCCCCCTCTCTCATGTCCCCCTGGAACCACCAGTCTGTTGTTTTCTCCTCCAGGTTGTTCATCCAGTCTATCTTAATTTAGACAGACCTGCGGAGATAATAACATGCACAAAAACAAGACAGAGCAAAACAAAGCAACACAAGAAAACAAAACAACAAAAAGCCAATGACAACAACAAAAAAACCAACCCAGCAACAACAACAAAAAGCTTGTAGTTAGTTCAAGGACTGTTAGCTTTTAGGAGTGCTTTCTGGTCGAATCTGATGGGGTGCCAAGCCCTGGCCCCAAAGTCTATTTTTGGTATTCCCCGGGGACATCGTTGCTCTGTTCCCCTTGCTGTTCTGTACCACGCCCTTAGTGTTTTGCCTCGGTGTGGTGGGATCAGATCGGGTGCAATTTCCACAGTGTGCGGCGTGCCCATTTCCCCCTCTCTTACATCCTCTGAACAAGGAGAGACCAGTAATTGCACCCTAGGTGGGCATTCATGAGATTTGAGGACCCCCATTGCCACCCACCAAGGTGCAATGTAGAACATTGTCTTTGTGGATGAGGTTACGCCAACTGACCTTGGCATCCCGAGACCATGGTCCTGTGCCCCCAAGGCCCCTGTAACTCATTCCCTCAAAGAAGCCTTTGACTTTGGGTACGCCTTTCTTAGGGTAGACAGGACAACGCAAATCTCGTGGGGCACACCAGGGACTTGTCTTTTTCTGGAAGCCCCACCATTACCAGCTGGCTGAATAGGGGGTAGGTCCCATCCCTGGACTAACTCAGGCCAGTGAACCCAGCGTTAAGGGGCTCATCTGCTAAGAGTATTGCTTCTGCAGTTTATACATGCTAACTCAAACCCCTCACAACCTGACCATCTCCTTGTTCTTCCCGAAAACCATGCCCAATCATTTCTGGGAAGGCAGTGATTATACACTCTACTGGAAGTCATCTCCATGCTGGAGGGGTGGGGCGGGGCCCTGCAGGTGACCTAGTTCAGAGCTGTTAGGGAACTGAGGCTGCTAAACCTGAGGAAAACAGCTGGGAGCGGCACAGCTGAGAAAGCACCAGGCCTTACTGCCTGCCTTGGAATTCTAATATAGCATGTTGGTCTAGAACTTTCTATCTGTACCTCAGGGGACTCATTTTGTTATCTGACTCCTGTTCCCATTTCCTAATAACCTTATCCCTTCTTCCCTTCGGAGGGCTCCTCTTGGGCCACCACTATGACCAAACACCCCACAGAGAGGGGTCTAAAGTCAACTCAAGCCAATGCTGGCAAGCTGGTTCTGACTCACTTAACTGCCCCTCAGAGCCGCGTGGCTCTCTCTGTTCTTTAGGGCACCAGGTACCCTTTCTCCCGCAGAGCGGCTGGTGCGGAGTGGCCAAGCTCTTGGGTAGCAGCCGAGGGCTTCATGACTCAGTCACTTCACCACCAGGG